TCAAGTCCTTAGACAGGAAAGACAGAGGAAGAGGGGTGAAGGCCCAACTAAGGCCGCAGTACGGTTGATGTGAAGCAGGAGGTGTAGAAGATGGTGAAGGGAATGAAATCAAAGGATGTGGAAACTGTTAGATGAGTGGGAAGAAGGAAATGGAAGAGTCAAAGCTGCCTGGCTTTCTAGTTTTGTGTTTACATTGGGAAACAGTTTCTGGCACATGGCATGTACTCATTAAGAATTTATTGAAGAAATAAGCGAATTGATTACCTTTATATTTTTGTATTGAGGAATATAGTAGCTTATATTCACTTGACATTTACAGATAAAATGATGAAGAGTTTTTTTAATTAATACAGAGTCTGAATTTCTTTATTTTTGAAATTACTTTAGTGCTTGTAGAATTTTAGAATTGGAGGAAGTTAATCTCTAGAGAATAAAAAATGACCCATATAGTGATGATCAAAGTAACATAAGCTGAACATGAACTAAAAACAGAGCAACAATATTTTATCCACTGCTTTTTGCTTTTATTGCTGCTGTTATCATATGCATAGCTGTTTCTAAGAGATTTTCAGTTTTAGAATAGGTTGAGATTATTTTTTCTGAGGGCCATTTGTTCTGTTTATGAACATATTTATGTTGTCTTCAGTGTTAACACAGGTATTTTTATTTAATTAAAAAAGGAAACTAAACCTGTTGTTCTTTTCCCCATTGCATTAAGAAATTAAATGAGCAAGCTGCAGAACTGTTTGAATCTGGAGAAGATCGAGAAGTAAACAATGGTCTGATTATCATGAATGATTTTATTGTCCCATTTTTGCCCTTATTACTGGTGGATGAAATGGAAGAGAAAGATATACTAGCTGTGGAAGATATGAGAAATCGATGGTGTTCCTACCTTGGTCAAGAAATGGAATGTAAGTTTAAACAGTACTAGTCGCATTTGAGTTGTTGAGATTAAAAGCAGTTAGAATTAGATGTTATTTATTCTTGCCATTTTTTATATTCCATAATATTTTCACATCATTAGTTTTTTTCCTTATTGATGGCTGTGCACATTGCTGTTGCCATTTATATTTTTATCTCTTCCCCGAAAATGGCTATTATTTTACGTATCACTGTAAATTAATAAATCATGTTGAGGACAATCATCTGGTAATTTCTATCTTTAGTTAAATTTAATTGTTTATATTTGCAGCAAACCTCCAAGAAAAGCTGACAGATTTTCTGCCAAAACTGCTTGATTGTTCTATGGAGATTAAAGGTTTCCACGAGCCACCGAAGTTACCTTCGTATTCCACGCATGAACTCTGTGAGCGATTTGCTCGAATCATGTTGTCCCTCAGTCGAACTCCTGCTGATGGAAGATAAACTGCACACACTTTCCCTAAATATACTGTATAAACTCTTTTTAGTTCTTAACCCTTGCCTTCCTGTCACAGGGTTTGCTTGTTGCTGCTATAGTTTTTAACTTTTTTTATTTTAATAACTGCAAAAGACAAAATGACTATACAGACTTAAGTCAGACTGCAAACAATAAAGCTGAGAATCGCATGGCACTCAGACTTTGTTTTAACCAGAACTGTTGTATAATTACAAATCTGATTTTATTATGGCAAAACTATGCTTTTGCCACTTTTCTGTTACAGTATTACTTTGCCTTTATCTTTTCTTTATCAACAGCTTTCTATTCAGTCTGGATCCTTCCATGACTACAGCCATTTAAGTGTTCAGCACTGTGTATGATACATAATATTTGGTAGCTTGTAAATGAAATTAAAGAATAAA